TTATGGGCCCCTATAACTCCAGATCTGTATGGGGCAGACAGGAGGATCACTGGAGCTTGCTGGTTGCCCGCCTAGCTGAACAATGGGAACTTCAGGTTCGAGGAGAGACCTTGCTTCAAAGTAAGATAGAAAGTGACAGAGGAAAACATCTAACACCCTCCTCTGACCTTTGAGTTTGCACACAGGCATGAGTACACACACACACACACACACACACACACACACACACACATACACACACACACGTTTCAGGTGTCTGGACTGGGAAGGGATAGGACAAAAGCCTAAGAGGCAGGAGGAATTTATAATCCCAGCACTCAGGAGGCTGAGGCAGGAGAATTATTGTGAGTTTAAGGGAAACTTGGGCTGCAGTCAGACCCTGTCTCAAATGAAACAAACCAAAAAGGCAGCAGTTACAGTAGCAATGACAGCAGCTGCCTCCCCTTGACAAGTCACAAAGGGCTTTGTCTTCCTTATCAGCAATCCTCACAGCAAAATCAGCAGAGGAAACTGCAGCTCAGAGACGTGAAACGATAGCCACAGTCCCTGCACATACCCTTTCAGGGGACAGTGGAGAATCCAGAGAGCCAGATCCCCACTGGGGATGCTGAGCTAAAGTTCCCATTTCTGCACAGAAGGAGATCAGGAAGTTCAGGAATCCAGCTTTGTGCTGGCCATGACCTCCAGAGAGGTCATGGAGCATCTCTCCAGCACCAGAAAAAAGGAGCTTGGTCATCAACTTCCGGGGGGAGGGGTGGCCTGGAGGGTGGGGAATAACGCTACAAATTTCCCAAGAGTGTTTGTCCCTGTTTCCAGATCCATTTCTGACTTTGTCCTCCAACCTGGGAGGATCATCTAGGGTAGGGGACGGAGGGTGCCTAGGCCTCAGGACTAAGAGTACTTGGGCCTGAGGCCAAGGGGGTCAAGGGGCAAGAGGGAAGCCAGCTCGGCAGAGTGCCAGGACCCCTCTGGAGACTTAGGCTTGTTTCTTAATCTTTTCCTTCCTTTGTGGCTAGAGCTGGCTGCCAGGAGAGGCAAGGGAAGCTGTGGGTGGGGACGAGGAGGTGAAAAACTCAGATGATGATTTCATTAGCGCTCCTGTTTGTAGGTGCACATCCATGTAGACACTGCGCCAGTTTCATGAGATCATCTCACTGAGGCCTACACCCTGTCCTCTGAGGAACGCAAGCTGATCCCCATTTCCCCGAGGTGGAAACTAAGGTACAGAGACGGAAAGAAAGTCTGTATCTGAAGCTTGTCAGTGGCAGAGCTGGCACAGAACCTAACAGGCTATTGACCTCTAAAATCAAGCCACAGGGTCTGCCTGGGGTCTGCATGCAAAGTGGGAAAGGCAGAGAACTGAGGGAGGAACAAGATGAAAAGGGTGAGAATCATCTCAGGAAAAACAGGCAGCTGTAGGGGTTCAGGAAGAAGCCAGGAGCCATTCCCCAAACCCCGCACAGTGTGACCCCACTCCCCTTTCCAGCGTCATCCCTCCAGTCTCCCATTGCTGCCTCTTCTTTTCTGCCCCAGTCACACCAGGGTGTTTATCCACCCTGAGCACATTATACAGGGAGCCTTTACACACACTGTTCCCTGCACCCAAAAGGTTGTTCCCTCCACTACCCACATAGTGAGCTCATGTGGTCCAGCTCCCCTCTGTTCTCCTCTGATGTCTAGAAATAGTTGCCCACTGCTCTGGGCTCACTGTGCACCTGAAGGACAGGAACCTGTGGGCATAATGTGTATGCCTAGAATCTAGCCATGTCCATGCTCCATAAAAATTTATTGTCTCTAGTTGCCTTTTATCACTAAATTTTTGAGGCAGGCAAAACAGGTTTTAATATCCTTGCATTCAAAGAAAAAGAGGGTAAGAGAGTGGGTGACTCTGGCAGACCTAGACCTCAGGTTGTCTCTGTACCATACAGCCCTGACCCAGCCCCAATCCTAAAGAGCTCTTCATCCCTCATACAAAGGAATCTCCAAGATAGGAGTGGGAGTCCTCGGCCCAGAGGCCAGAGAGAAGGGAAAAGGTGGCAAGTCACAGACAAGTGGCTTCCTCCCCAACACAGATCTGGCTCCTCTGCCCAGGTTCATTTCTCAGGCAGAGTCCAGTCCCTAACCAGACACCACTGGATCTGGTCACCCCAGACTCCAAGACCTCACTCTCACCTTGGTCCTCTCTTGCCTGTCCACTGTGATCCATCATCATGTCCTCCTGGTCCCGCCTCCTACACAGACCTCATATCCCCCACTGCTGCATGGCACATGGCCTGGGCCCAGTATCTCAGCATTCTTCCCCTGAATAGTTGGCCCTGTCCCTGCCCTTCCTGTTTAATACCTAATGGCTCCCCAGTGCCCTGGGATCAAGGCCCCATATCTCCTGAGCCTACCTCTCCAGGGGCATCACCCCAGATGGTGGTCGTGGCTCTGCATATGCCTCCCACTAAGAAGGGCCTTTCTCCTGGTCTCTAATCAAGAACACCAAAGGTTTCTGGGTCCTTCTACCCAACTAGACTCAGCTCTCCTGGGGGTAGAGGAAAGGGCCTATACAGATTCAGGTCTGGCTCCATGCCAAAACAGGGCCTGGTATAAAGTGGGCATCAGAAAAACCAGGTGGTTTAGAAACAGAGGTACATTCTTACTTCCATGAAGCTGCCTCCCTCCCTTTACCATAGGTGCCTTTTGGAACCTGTCAGACCAGGTTGTTATCCATTGTGCCCCCAGCAGTGCCCTCCCAGACCTGATTTCTGCTATCCCAAGAGGGACATCTTTATTTTCCCAGAATGATGCCCATAAGTATAATTATAGCAATAACAACCATTACCACATTTATTGGGTGCTCACTGTATGCCTCATTATTTAGCCCTCACAGGAACCCTAGGAGGGAAGGAGGAGCTTTTATTATCTTTGTTTTACAGATAAGGAAACTGAGGCTCTAAGGAGTTACCTTGCCTAAGCCACTCTGCTGCCCAGGGGCTTTCTGTTATCTCCCTTCTTCAGAAATTTATTTGGGGGGGGGGAGACAGGGTCTCCCTGTAGCCCCAGCTGTCCTGGAACTCTCTATGTAGACCAGGCTGGACTTGAACTCACAGAGATCTGCCTGCTTCTGCCTCCAGAGTTCTGGGATTTAAAGGCGTGTGCCACCATGACCTCTTGAATACTAAGGCCTGGATAAAGAAGCATGCATGTGCCTGCGCCTGCAGCTACTCGTCCAGCAAACACTCTAGTAGCTCCTACCAGCCCTGAGCTGGGCATTAGGGACAGACAGAGAGGACACTGATGCAGGCCTGCTTCTTTAGGAGTTTTATGGAGCTGGAGAGATGGCTCAGCAGTTAAGAGCACTGACTGCTCTTGCAGAAGACCTGGATTCGATTCCCAGCACCTACATGGTGGCTAACAATGGTCTGTAAATACAGTTCCAGGGGATCCAACTCTGTCTTCTGACCTCTGTGGGCACTGCACGACACAGGTGCACTTACATACATGCAAGCAATACACTCATACACATAAATTAAAAATAATAAATAAAAAAATTTTTTAAAAACTTTTACACTAGGAAGTTGGGCCTTGAGATTAGCAGACTTGGGTCTGAGCCCAAGTTCCCTTGCTAAATAAATGGGTGAGTCTAGGTAACTCCTCTGCCCGGTGTCAGGTCCTTTATCCATCAGCCCAGCAGGGAGGAGCCATGATAAATAATTGTATCCAATGACTTGAGCTTCTCAGGAAAGTTCTAGGTCCAGGACCCCAACTCTCCAGGGTCCTTCTCAGAGCTGAAGAATCATGTGATCAATAGTGCTAATCTGTTCTAGTTAAACAATTCTCCAAGGGAGGGGCCCTTTATTAACCCTATTTCACAGGTCAGGCAACCAAGGCAGAAAAAAGTGACTGAACCGAATCACACAGCGTGAGAGTGACTCAGCAAGAACCCAGTCGGCCACATCCTCACCAGCAGAGTCACAGCCTGCTAGGGAGTTCAGGGGCTCCTGACCCTTGGATTTTAGTCCAGTTAGGTAGGAGGTTAAAGTTAGGAGTAAGGAGTCAAAAGGATGAACATTTCTCATACCCCAACCCCTCCAGGAGCCCAGAGCTAGAAGAAACCAACAATTACCCAACAGTCCCATACTGGACACTTCCAATGGCTCCTTCCCACATCCACTTGGGGAGTCTTATGATATATATGTCACAGGTGAGGTCTCCAAGACCCAGAGAAATTCACCATGCCCAAGGTCCTACCATAAGGAAACAACAATACTGAGAAGGTAGAGTCCCTCCTCAGCCTGTCCATCTTCAGCCCAGACCTTCCCAGCTGCCCCTGTCATCAGATGAAAGCTAAAGGCTCTGCTACTCCCTCCCAGGAAGCCCAGTTACCAAGCTCCTCTCTCTGTTCCACTCAGTTCTGAGGACCCAGAATCACTTTCATAGCCTCCAAGAAATTCACAATCTAGTGACCAGATAAGGATCTTACATTCCCTGAGCCACTAATGATAGTGGCCATTTAATCCAACACAAAGCCCATGTCTGGGTGCTTAATCGATCCTTGACAAATGTCTTCATTAATTCAGAAATGTTCACTGAGCACCTACTAAATGCATTCTCTCCTTGGTACTAGAGACAAATGAACAATAGAACAGATCAACAAAAGTCCCTGCCCCTCAGGGGGTCTGTACAAAGGAGCAAATATGTCCAGAAGGTATCGATAGTCTCATTTTACAGATGTGAAACTGTGATACAAAGAGCTTCCCATCTTTAACTGGTGGAATAAGGATTCTATTCCAAGTGAGCCTGTCCCAAAGACCTTTGGATGGTGTCACCCCAAAACAGCTACCCACTGGGTCAAGTATCAGGAAAGAACTGGCTCAGTTAGAACCTAACTTCAGAGAGTGCCCCTTCTTGGCACTCCTGCCCTGACCCTTGGGCCTCTCCTTAAGCCTCCCAGTGGCTTCAGAGCCACAATCATGCATCAGAATAGCACTCAGTTAAGTCAAATCAGTACTTACCCAGAAGCAGCCATGTGGTCACACAGTCAGCCAGGGAGAGGCCATGGAGCCATCGCCATAGTAGCACATGGAAGCAAAGGACAGAATTAAGATGTAGTACAACAAACAAACAAACTTTGGGGCCCTGTTCAGTTGGGGCCTGGGCCAATAGGGAACCTGCTTTCCCTGTGCTTCCACCTGCCAAACTCTGCTGGCCAGATATCATCAAGTCATCTAACAGTCCACTCTGAGCTCATCAGGCCTCCTAAGGTTTAGCAAGGACATTCCCAAGGACATCCCAAGGGCATTCACTGAGCACCTACTGGGTGCCAGGTCCTAGAGATGCAGTCTGAAGTCAGACAGGGTCCCTGCCCTTATGAGCCTACAGCACAGTAGGGAAGTAATCACATAAGTAATTACTAAATTACTGCTGTGTTGAGTGCATCAAGGAGGAGACCTTAAACACCCGGGGTCAAATCCTTCCTCCATCATTTAAAGTCTATCATTTGTGCCACTGGGGCTATTTCCTGACTTCTCCAAGCTTCTCTTACTTACCTGGGGGTAGTACTCAGATCCACAGGGCTAGTGTCAGGATTATATCAGCTCACATACATTTTGAACAGTGCTTGACACACAATAAGCTATTCATAACTTGTAGCTACTATAATTACAGGGGGCTGTAGGCAGGGGTTTTGGAGGGCACTAGCATGGCTGAGGTCACCATCTTCCCTACAACAATGTTGATAATGAGATAATGAAAGGTGAAGTCTGAGCATACTGCCTGACATAGTAATGATTCAGGAAGTGCTGCTGCTGATCTTAGGGTGCTCTCCAGCACATCCCCGCAGTGAGGCTTCTCTGCATACACACCCAGAACTGCCACTTTGGACTGAAAAAATGACCAGTGACCAGTATTCTCCTGATTCAACAAATGCTTCAATTTTTACCTTTACAGTAACCCAGAACACAAAGGTGAAATTGTTCCTTTTCCCATTTTACAGACAAAGACAGTGGGGTGAAGGGACTTCTCTCTGCATCCTTGGTAACATTTTGTATCTCCAAACCTAGTGAGATGGTCAAAGCTCCTATCTGCCTGGGTTTTGTTGCTCAAATTTTGCATTCATCTTTTTTTTCCCTTAGTGTCTGCAGTATTTGCTGCACAGCCCAGATGAGCCTTTGAACCCCTTTTGAAACTATTATGGCCAAACAGCCAGCCCAGGACCCAAGCTGTTGCTGAAATTAAACTCTTCCTCTACAGGCTCGATCACTGGTGCTGTAACCCCTGCTCTGTCCCTTTCCCCTATGGCTGACCTCAGTCACTAACCTAGGGGTCAAGAAATGTCTGCACTCATTCAAATCCACATTTTACAGATGAGGAAACTGAAGCCCAAAGTGGACCCTATATCCAAGGCTGCCTTTCAATACCCAGCTTTTGCACCTGGACAGTAGTTGGGCTCTGGATAAACTTCCAGTAGACCCTGAGCTACAGGGTCCACTTTCCCCAGCCTGCCCCCAGCTCTCCAACTTGAGTTTCCTAAAGCTCAGAGCTCAATCCAGGAGTCATTAAGCAGTTCCACAGGTTAGGCCTAAGAAATGTAAGCACCTCAGTATCTTAGGATACTGTGGAGTGAAGGCTCCCTGTCTTAGTCAAGCTTTGCAGTTGGATCTAAGTTCAAATCCCAGTCAGTCACTTCCTAACTGTGTGACTTTGACCAACTCAATTGACTCCCATGATCCTGAGGAACAGGGATGATGCTTCATAATACTTCATGAAATGCTAAGGATGAAATAAGTTAATACAACTAGCTTAGACTAGCAAGTGTTTAAGAGGCAGTGGGCCTAATTAGGATTAGACAGCAAAGTCAAGAACAGAATTTGTGGGCTCACCACACTCGGCCTTGATCTTGCCCCATCCCATTCTCTCACATGGTGTTAGGATAAGTTCTAAACCAGGTCCTAGGGTATGACAGTTTTTGTCGATTATCAAAAGAAACTAATGCACAAAGCAAATAGTAATGGGTGCCAGAAGACCCATAGAGACTCTAGGCGCATCTCCCCTTCCCATGGTATAGAAAGGGAAACTGAGGCCCAGAAAGAAAAATGGGACTGAAGAAATGGTTCACTGGTTAAGAGCAGATACTGCTCTTGCAAAGGACCTGAGTTCAGTTCCCAGCACCCACAACAGGCAACTCACAACCACCTATAACTCCAGCTCCAGTGGGAGCCAATGCCTTCTGGCCTCTGCAGGCCCTTGGACTCAGGTACACATAGCCCCACAGTTTCCTCATCTGTAAAATGTGGACATAATTTAAAATTATAAAAATAAACCTTTTTTAAAAGTGCCAGGCTCACACACTTTGAAAGGACAGAATCCTGCTACAAACCCAAGAGATCTTAGATCAACAGATTTCTACATGCTGCCATAACCTTGGTGATGAGCCCTTTGTGAGCATCCTCTTCAGTTCTGTTGCTGGAAAAATTGTGTGTGGCACACAGTAGGGGCTTGGAAGACTTAGGGAATAACCAAATGGGGTCTTCTGGTTTCACTCTGAGGGTCCCCTCAAGGACTCTCTCCTTGCATCTCCCTTCCTGAGCACCCTCCCTACCCCCTCCCAACTCCACCGTCACCTCTGTTTCACCCTCATGCCCTAGTCCTCTTAGCTCGGCCCGGCTCCAGCTCACAGAGCTCTGGGCCTGCACAGCATCAGCATCTTCCCAGCCAGCCTGGGATGTTCCTGATCAACCCAGCCAGCCAGGCTCCTGGCCAGGGTCCACTCTGCAGTGATGGTACTGGCCCTGCCCTGCCAGAGCCCCACCCCCACGGGCCTACAGGGTGGGGCAACCTGGGAGTCCTGGGAGCTTCTAATGGCATCTGGGGCCCAGAGAGAGAGGCCAGCTTGGTCTAGACAGTGCAGGTATGGGTTGATCAGAAGACAGTGGGGATGTGGGGCTTCCTCCTCTCACTGAGTGCCACCCACATATCCAGCCACTCCACCCAAGCCCCATGTTGCCTGCTCTCACACCAGCTCCCAATCTGGCCTCCGTACACTTAGTGCTTCACTTGATTCTGCTAATGTCTGTAAGGTCCAGATGACTGAGAGGTAAAGCGACTCATGCAAGGTCACACAGCAAGGATATAGCAGGGCCAGGATTCAAACTTAGTTCTGCTGCATGCAAAATCCATGGGATATGGATGTGTCTCCCTGCCTCTCAGTTCCCTTCCCAGACCTTACACCTCCTACTGCAGTCTCCCCTCCCCCATTCCTATAGTTATTAATTCCCACCTCACCACTGCTATAACACCTTATTTGTGTGCACCCAACAGTAGCAGGTACTACAGGCTTTTGAAGTGTCTTGTCTCTGACTCAGGAGGCCCTTGACGGCAGGGAGGGACCCCAGTAGATGCTCCTTAGACCTACTTTACTGTCTATCACTTCTATCTCTCCACCGCCCCCACCCCCATGCAAAAGTCTTCCCGGTCTCCCCTCCTCATTCCAGCCTCCGGCCAACATCCCAACCCCGACCTCCAGGCGGGTAAGAGGGAGTGGGGTTCCCCGCAGGAGCTTACTGAAGTAGGAGAGGAAGGCTCTGTGCCCGTGCTCTGGCCCCTCCCTCTCATCTTCAGTAGCAGTGAACAGGACCCGGACATGGCACCACGCAAACTCTCCCACGAACTCCTAGCTGCCCTAAAGCCCAGCCCCAAGCTCTCCCATTGGGAGCAGAAAAGGGACTGCCTTCAGCCCAGTCGCAGGAATCTAAGGGGTCACATGCAGCCACTCCCTCCCAGGGGAAGCCAAGGGCCCTGGAAGAGCCCTACCCAGCCCTCCCAGGAGAGTCCTCCTTCTCCCCTCCCACGGCCCTCTCCGGCTGAGGTTGTCCGGACAAGTCCCCGCCTCTAACTCGTAGGGCGAGAGGGGTCCCACCCTTCTGCAAAGAGGTGGGGCGTGCGGGAAAGTGCAGCTTCAGGACCAGTCAAGTCTGGGGAAACAGAGGACAGAGACAGCACCAGGGAGACACCATGCGAGACCGGGAACCCAGGGACCAGAGACCAGGGTCCGAGCCCGAGCAGACCCCAAGCCCCAGGCTGGAAGGGATTGCACCGGCCGGGCAGCGTCCCCGGGTCGGAAAACTCAGGCCGTTACGTAAGGGCCGGAGCGGGGCGTGGGGCTCCGGGTCCCCGCCGCGGCAGCTGGACCCGGCAGGAGGACGCAGGGCGCGCAGGGCGGGGTTGGCAAACCGCCCCGGGCTGCGCCGCTCCGCAGGGACCCGCTGCGGACACGGGGCTGCGACGGCGGGCGGCCGGAGTGAGTCCAGTGTGGGACCCGAGTTCCTGCACCCGGTCTCCGGAACCCGGGAGCTCCTCGCGCGCGCGCCGCTTGGAGACCCCCGTGGACCCCAAGTTGGGAGCCAGCAGTCCGGGACCTCCAGAACCCCCCGGGATCCCCGTGACCCTGCGCTCGCCCCTCCCGGGAAGCCGGGCCCTGGGAAGGGGCTCTTGGGTCTCGTACCTTGTCCCTCCCCTGAGTCCCGGGGCCGCCCCCAGCGGTCCAGGCTCACCTGGGCTGCACCGGGCAGGGACCTGGCCGGGCCGGGCCGGGCCGCGCCGCGCTCTCGCTCTCCGAGGCTCTCTCCCTTTAAGAGGTTTCTGCCACTTTGCCCCGCCGGGGGCCTCCACCTGCACTGACAGGGCAACTCTGACTCGAGGCCCCGCCCTCTCCCCAGGAGGCCCTCTAATTGGTGCAGACAGCTGCCAATCTTTGGGGCGGCGGGCTGGACACGGCTGAAGAGAAAGCGAGTCGCAACCGGGAAGGGGACGAGGCGGGGGGGAGGGCTGCAGGTGGGGGAGCCCCCAGCGGAGACGCCCTGCAGCTCCGGATAGACCCCCAAGGGGTCAAGGGAGGGGAGGTCAAGAAGTTCCTGGATTGGCTGTTGTGGTCGCTGACGTCATGTGGCAAAAGTATGAAGCAATTTGCCACGTGGTGCTGCCCCAGTGGGCACTAGGTTGGAGCAGGGGTTGGTCTTGAGAATCTGGGGAAGT